TATTCGCAGTCGACAAGGAATCAATCGATGTCGTCCGAGGCTCCTTTGAAAGGTCGTGGTTTTCATAGGAGGTTGAGATGACATTGAAGGACAGTGGCATCGTGGGGCAGTGCCTCCATTGGGTTGGGCCATTCTTCGAAAGGGGGTCAGTGCCATTCTAATGGGGCTGCAGGGAACAAATGTAGGGACTTGTCATCGGCTATAAGACTCCCCTGAGGGAGTGTGTCTTTGCGTACAATGACTCTGTCTCATATTGTGAATCTGAGTCGTACTGCTTCAGGATCATCTCGTATTGGTTCTTTGCCTGCGCCACTTCCTTCCACCTGATCTGGCAGTGGCTGTGCCCCTAGGAGTCAGCTTCCCTTGCCAGTCCAGGGGTTCTGGAATCTCTTCAATTGTCTTGCTGCTTGATTCAGCTGATTTTGGGTGTGGTTGAGCTGGGAAGCCATGCTTCAGGTCAAAGGGCTGGTCTCAGTCTGGCTTCAGATGGATGGTGCTGTGTATACTGCTCATTTCAGCAGGACGGTGACACGCCCTCTCCTCGTTCAGGCATGTAAAATTGTGAAAATTGCGAATACATGGGCCGCATTCCAGGCCAGTAAGCATGTAACAGAAAATAGGACTAGAGCACACAGAAACCTCGCTATCATAATGATAAACTGGAGTAACAATAAGCAGAGTGCATGGCCTAGTAACAGACTAATACCAGAGGGGTTAGGCTGCATGTGAGGTCCCAGCACTTGGCCCTAAATGCACTAATACTATTACAAGAGGACATGCTAAAAATAAAAAGACTATGATCGAAATATGATCGGCAATTCTGATCACATTGATCAAAGATGCACAGCCATTGATGTGCTGATGGGACATGCCTTTAGAACAGAGAACTGAGACCCAAAGAAAGGTATCTGAGTAAATGGGTACCGAACGGAGAGATAGCATGATGACAACAAGCTAACAAGTAGAGGAATATTACCCCAGGAATGAATAGCACGGATACTGCCCTGAACCTTAGCGCGCATAACACAGCGAGGGACTCCGCATCGTACCGAGAAGTGGCACCTTTAGTGAGTCAGATGGAATGACTGGTTGGACACAGGAAAGCAGAACATAGCCAT